CATAGAAACGGCGGGTGATCATTTCCAACAATTTTTTTCAAACACTCTGTCAAATTATTATCACTTTTCATTTCACTAACATTTAAAAAATCTCCTACAGCCCTCCAGCCTCTAATTTTTTAACCACTAACATTTTTTCCAAAAATTATCAGGATCCTCTGAAACGTCAAAAAACGACATTCGAGCGTTTTTTATTTTTGACCTTTTTCTCCTCCGCCACTGCACCAATTTTCAAAAACTACAAAGCTTTTTCGTCCTTGGTGTAGCAGAAACCTTTTGAATAAGTTTCATCCATATCCTAGCAGTACTTTCCAAGTTAAACAGGGGCCAAGGATCACTGGACAAACCGACGAACAGGTAGACAGACAGACAAACAAACAGACAGACAGATATACAGACGAATGGACGGATGGACGGACAGACAGATAGACAAAAAAAACGTATCTTATTTTGGAAATTTTTCGTGACTTCATCGTATGAAGTAAAAATTACTGTCGCAAAAATTGAAGAAAACATTGCCAATTTCCTGACTTAGATAGCGACTCTAAAATGCACGATTGGTAGATTTGAACTTGAAACTGCTTTATGACTTATTTCGAAATATTCGTACCTTCTGAAAGATTTCGTATAGAAGGCCGTCGAAAAAACTTTACTCCTTTTAAACAGATTTTGACCACGACCAAAACTAGCAGGAACGAAAACGAAGCCTGGGAGTTGTAGATTTATTGTTTTTCCATCATAATATTGGCGCCTTCAGATGTAATAAAAATCCAAGTTATACTTTTTGGGCTGTAGAGGGTGCGGCCGGTAAAGTGATCTAATAGACTAACACTTTTAAGCTGCAGTACTGTAAAAAAATTATATCGAGTTTACTATAGCATCGCGCGGTTGCCGTTTGCTCAAACTTTCTCCGACATGAGAAGAATATCGCGCAATTCTTGCTGGTCGGATCATTGTCATATAGAATATATTTTCTTTCATTTTACCTATTCTGAATTCAAACACATAAGATAAGATTGGTAACACTACATGAAACCACGATCATCAAACAATGTTTAAAGTGCGTCATTTCTGACGTCTATTTTGGATTGTTTAATTTTTTTTATTTTTGACATATGCTTCAGAAAAAATATATACAATTCCTAAGGATTCAAATAAATGCGCATAACAAAAAAAATGAGAAGTGGGAATATTTAAAAATATGTGCCATACATATGTTCACACAGTGGGAGTGTCTTTGTGTACTACAGACCTACCTCTGACATCACAGAATCTCAAACCGCCTTGAGACTTCACTTTTCATTAATCATTTTTAATAGCTCTTTGTATATTATTTCAAATTAGTCAAACGGCACACTAATTGTAAAAATATTGTTTTAAAATTGGAAAAACATAGAGAAAACAACAGAAACGGTTTCTAAAGGATTTAGTTCTGTAATCTCCTTGAATGCTTTTTTCTCTTGTCCAGTTTATGCGACCATTTTTTTAGATTTCGAATAACAGTACAAGGCGATGAGACATTATTTCGATCAATCATGAAAACTAACTAAAAATCATCTTTCTACGTTTTGTGCATTTCTGTGGGAAATCGTTACGTCACATTTCCAAATACAGCCTCAAGAAATACCTAATATTAATTTTTGGCTTGAAAACGGTATATAATGGGTCATGAAATTGGGCAAACGGCAAAGTTCAAAAAACGTGATTATAGCAAAAAAACAACGTTTTTTATGTTTTTGAAACCATCGTAAAATTTCAATTTCGTTGTAGGTTTCAAGTTCTATCGACTCGAAGTCTTTTCAAGAGATAATTTTTAAAAAGTGACTTTGGTTTTGTTTGTAAGGGTCAATCAAAAACTCCGGCAAAGGCCTATTTAATAACTGAAAGCTATATTTGAAGCATGACAACTCCCATTTTTTATAGTTCTAAAATTATCGAATATCCAAAAAGTGATATTTTGTATTGTCTTCAGGACAAGCGGAAAGTAATGATACATTACTTAGGTATTTGCGGTAGTATACATGTACCGGAAAACGAAAACTAAAAATCCATTCTATGTTTTTCCAAGTTTTCCTGTTATGTTCCGGTATACCTGAATGTGAACCCTACACAGCAAGTTACCAACATAATTTAAAAATCAGGTACAATTTGGGTGCAAGCTGTGAATAAATCAAACAATAAAATCTGGCTATAAATGCAGTTTATTTCTCCCCAGAGCGTGGGGTTAAATGCCACTGCACACACAAGAAAATGGGCCAATGCAGGGAGTCCCTAAATAGACTAAGTTGAAGGTTTATCAAGCCAAAGATTGTCGGCCTTTCAAGCTTTTGTATAAAATTAATAAAGGCTTACAACGCACTTGGTTCCCTCAGTAGGTATCTTGTAAATTGGTGAAATAAAAAATAACAAAATGCGACTTAATCAATATTTCAGAACTGTCTCACCCTTTATACTTGTTGCTGTGACATTACAAAATTCTAAAGGACGTCTAGCAAGCTTAGTAATACTGCGATTTTTATGAAAACATCGCAACAATCTAAACATAGCCAACTTAATTACAATATTAATGACATAAACACACACCATACAGCTTTTCAAACATTTTATCCTCATATGGCAACTAGATGCGCTGAAATTCTCACTTTTCAGCCACTGACACTGAATGGCACATTCCACTAAGTTCTTACGGTTTTTAAAAAGGGTCTTTTCGACTGGGGACTTCAAGGGTGACCGGGTTTCGTTTTCATTTAAAGGGCTTAAAGATGAAATCGACCGATTGTGAAGTAGCGGATTTATCGTCGCGGCGCGGCGGACTGACGTGAAGCCGCAGCGGTTCAATTTTCAGGCGATTTTCAGTGCTCCGGGAGGCGATGTTGTCAGATTGTACATGGAGAAATTCTAGGTATCCCGACGCGATCGTCACATTTTGAACGTTCATCCGATTTTTCTCTTTTTGCAACAAAACAGGACTTGGGATTTGGGGCTCAAGAAGCCCCCACCCGCCTCCAACACTCCACAGCCTAATACTGCCGTGCCTAGGTAAAATAAAAGAAAGTTCATCTACTGCCTTTTATAAATTATGACACCAATACGATTACAATTACAAAATACAGGCATAAAAGCAGTAAATCAATGTATCAAAGTAAAAAGCAGTAGTTTTTATTCTATCTACGAGACAAGTAGGTACTGCTCCGAAAGAGTAACTTCGATAAATATTATCCGTTTAATTTAACCTAGGTATATGAAAATTATGTTTTTAATTTATTATATATAATATTTTTTTAAAGTTAATAAATGTAATTAAATAATTGAAGACATAAGTGGATAAAGGTGTTATGTCACAAAATGCAAGTTCAGAGTTATTTAGGAAAACGTGATTTGATTTGAAACTTCTTCAATTATTTTACGATTGATTAAAATCACTTGTTCGATATATGTCGGTATTTTTATTGTATTAGATTAAGGACACTGAACGATTATTAGTTTATTAAAAAAACTGCAAAAAATGTACATAACTCCTTTATCCGCTGAAAATGAAACTGTGGTAGAATAACAACATACGTGAAAAGAAGTGTCAAGTTCTTTATTATTTAAAACAGATAAAAATGATAATAATAAAGTGTTCAGTATCAGAAGATACATGTTTAAACTGTCATTCTTTTCTTCTTTGGATGTGGTAGGTTCTCCTGTATTACACTTTCGAAATACAATTCGTATTCTTTATCTACAAGCTTCATTTCAGCTTTGAGGTTTCGTAGTTTTTATTAATAAATCTCCACACATTCGTGTTATCCTTGTTGACTGGCACTCGGGGCGGTCCCGTTTTTTGCATTTTTCTTTCTCAAATCAACTTCAAAGGATGGCGTGTATTTTTTACACCGATTTTTGTATTCTCTAAGGTTAGCAGAACTGAGAAAAGCCTCCTCATGTAGATTGTTCCACAATATCGATATCCTGAGAGTAGCAAATCCATCTCCTATGGATAAAAGAGCGGTCGTATCGGCCAGTTCTGGATGTACGAAGTTCGACACGGTTAGGATGGGAGGCCAAAGTCAGGCGGGTCTGTCTGGCAGGCACATCGCGCGGCGGCATCATGGAGGAGAGCTCTCAGGAGCAAATCCCATTGGCGTAGCGGTAGAAGAGAGATAGATCGCCATCGGCCCGCTGATGCGAAAGGGTCCCGAGACTGTCCATTAGAGAAGAGCCATCGATCCACTGATCGACAGCCCTCTGCCGAAAAACATCGAGCATGGATATTGTAGTACTCGAAGCTACTTCTTAAGGCGGCATTACACGCTACGAGATATCGTCGCGATTTATCGATGATGTGATTGGCAAATTTATTGCTCCGATAAATCCAAGGTGGGGTACTGTTTACACGCTCCGTGAAATTGTAACAATTCCTTGTCACATTCTATCGTCTCCAGCTATAGATCCCATAAAATGCTGTAGCCATGGAGGAAGCAGTACTACTGTCAGTATTAATCGGATGTTTAGTGAGTAAAAAAGGAAAAATCGCGGAAACCCAGATCCAAGTGGAGTCGCGAGTGGTTACTGAAGAAGAGTGAATTCTCTGATGTGAACTTATTGCAAGAAATGAGTAGTGAGTCAAATGACTGGCGAAATTATTTGAGGATGGACGAGGGGACTTATCTTGAGTTGTTAAGCTTAGTTTCTCCGTTGATTGCGAAACATGATACTGTAATGAGAAGAGCGATATCCCCTCACGAAAGACTCTTAGCTACCTTAATATTTCTTGCCACCGGAAGAACCTTGAAGGACATGGAATATTCTACTGCGAGTTCTCAGCCAGCTCTCAGCTCAATAATCCCAGAAACCTGTGAAGCTATCTACAAAGTATTACAACAATACATCCAGGTATGCTTTATTTATTATAAAACATATTTGTCTATATATTAGTTTTTAATTTTATTTTAAAGTAACGAAATGTAATACAATATAAAGTGAATAATCATGGAATGTGAAACATTAATGTCTTGCTATGCCGAGAAATTTGAAAAGAAGGCTGAAGCATTGTTGAGTTGTTGTGATTCTGATTGGTGAGCATTGGGTTGTTCAGCTTTATTTGTTTGAACGTTTGGTAGTGTCACGTTAGAGACTTCAGGAGTATCATGGTTGAGAGTTTGGAGGTATAATGCTGGAGCGTTTGGGAGCTGTAGAATGTTATCACTGGAACAACGAGGATTGTGTTGTTGAGGGTATGGTTGATGGTCGGGCATTCGTGAGATGTACGGTGGGGGGGTAGGGTTGCTGTCGGTAAAGTTGGGGGTTAAATTGTTGATACTCATTACTTTCGAATGAACGGTGTGGTTGAATGTTTGTTACTTTGAAATCTTTGGTGAGTGCTTCAAGCTCCCCCTCAAAAATCACGTCATTTATGAGTTTTCTAGCGAATATGGCCTGGTTTCCTCTAAGAGAACGTAGCTTATGAGCTACATACTTTCCGTAGGCATCGAACTCATCATCAGTACGAATCGAGGTACGAATACTTTGTAGCTGCTCTCCCGCAAACTGCATCATCTCATCTGCCGGAGTCAGCATCTTTTTTCTCTTACATAGCGTCTTTGGTACCCTCGATATAACTGTTGATGATGACACACTTAGTGATGTGCTTGATCCATCATCACCTGATGTTGGAAGAGCCTCATCTCCTTGTTGGGAATGGGGTAGATCAGTAGATTCTGAATCCTCCTGTTGGGAATAAAACATATATAAGTTTCCAATAAACTTATGAGTAGATACATTTGGCAGGTGAAAGAAACAGTTCTTCACCTATTGCCGGGAAAATAGATTTGTAGATAATATTCAAGTTTATATTAATTTAACTTATGTTTTTCTTTGTGTTCAAATGTTTAATTTGAAACTGAGAGTAGTGTCAACACAATAACACATTTTGTGTGTGTATGTGTCTATCAAAAACAATTTTTTTTCTGTTCCCTAAAAGAGCCGATGAGTGGTACAAAATTGCCCTAGATTTCAATTTCCTCATTGTTTGGGCGCGATCGATGAAAAGCATGTCCGGATTGTTCCACCAAAGGATTGAGGTTCATACTACTTCAACTACAAGAAGACACACGGTATAGTTTTGATGGCTATAACAAACGCTCACTGCGAATTTATACTTTGTGATATAGGAACGAACGGTAGAATATCTGATGGAGGTGTGATTAATAACACTCGTTTTTACGACAAACTTACAAAAAACCAACTTAATATCCCTGGACCCGAACCAGTTAGCTTTGATCTTGACCTGCCATATGTTTTTGTGGGGTTGATGCCTTTGCATTAAGACCTGATCTTATTAAGCCTTACGGTCGGGATTCCTTAACAACGAGGAAAGAATATGCAACTATCGTATAGCGGTATCGAGAGCACGGCGAGAAGTTGAGAACAGTTTTGGACTTTTAGCTTCACGTTTTCGTGTTTTTTACACTGCAATCAATTTAAATGTGGATTCCATCGAATCACTAGTTCTTGCTTGCTGTGCATTGCAGATCTTCTTGAGGACAAAATCATCTACTTACTCTTCTCCTGAAAGTGTTTATCAAGAAAATATTATTGATGGTACCGAGCCACCAAGTACAAAGCCTGATACTGATATGTTCCACAATCTCGAAAAACGTTCAGGATGTCAAGTTTTGCACCAAGCGAAAACCGTTCGACACAAATTCTGTGCGTATTTTAACGGGGAGGGGTCAATTCCTGCTCAAGAAACATTTGCATTGATTGTTTGAAATTTACAGTTCATTAGTTAAAACCATATTATATAAACAAGATATTTTGAGATACAGGGATATTCTTTAATAAGTTTGTGCCGTCAACATGTACTTGTTATAACAATAAATGTTGCTATATCTAAATAAAAATTCATTTTTACTTACATCTTCTTGTGTTTCTTGATCCGCATCACTCATTGTACTCGTATTAGGTCTTGCAGAGTCCTGGTCTCTAAAAAAATGCAGCAGGTCGAAGTACCACAACGTAGGTTTATAGATGTCATCCGCACCTGTCCCGGATTTTCCCGATTTGTAAACTTTAGCCAATTCTTTTTATAGACCGTACGTAAAGCATTATTTTTTTTAACAACAGTGTTTCTATCCGCCGATGGATCAAACTCCTGGTATTTTTTCACCAACTCAATATAAGCTAAATCTTTTTTATTCCTGTCGGAATGTTCTTTGCTCTTGACGCGCCGCCACCACGTAAAACTTTGATAAAGTTCAATGAACTCTGTCAAAAACTCTCGAGGAGTTTGTTTCGGTGCATCTGCCATAGGTGCCTCTGCCAATTCGTACCAAAAAGGAAAACTAAATTGACTCCGTACGGCCAAAACGCAAACCGAGTTAAATTGTAGCGACAAATCGCTGCCACCTGACTACATGTTCAGACATGTTTGTTAAAAAACCGTGTCTCGTTTTTAACCACTATTTAGGCTAAAAATGAGACAGTGAGACGTTAAAAACAAGACACTGTATTTTCTGGCCTTTTAGTCATTTTACATCAGTGTGGCAAAATATGAAACCCTGGGGAATAAAAACGAGACACACTGCAAGGGTTTTAAAGCGTTTAGTAAGTCAAATAACATAGTTACGTTTTAAATTGTGACAACGTTCTTAAAGAAAACTCACATAATTAAATACAAAACTATGTTTATTAAACTAAAAAGAAAACAAATCCAAAAACAAGTTAAATAAACCATACCTAATTCAAAAAAGGGGTAATACAAGATTTTCAATAGGATTTTAAGAGCTAAAGTAGAAAACTTATTATTCTAACGTATTTTGTACTACATAGGTATTATTGAACGACGTAGTTTTCAAAGTCGATAGGAAACCAATATTGCTGAGAGATACGACAGGTCTTACTTTCTATTTCTGGCTGGGGAAGTTTCATTTCTATGTCACTTTTGTCGATGAAGTACTTTGCCTCAATGGCCGGAAAAATAAATTTAAATCCTTTGCGCCTCAGATATTTTACTTCTACATCGCTCTCAAAAACTTTAAGGATTTGTGCCACGTAGTAAACTTGCGTTTTTTGCGTTTTTTTTACTTAGTCTATTGCGCTTACAAAAATTTTTAAACCAATCTTTCCCGGGCTTTCCTTCCTTAAACTGGGTAGTAAGGTGGTTTTCTTGTACATAGGTTTGAACTATTGCTTGTATCTCTTTTTTACTGGGAGTAAACCCCCATTTTGCCATAATTTTTATCTTATCACTTAAGTCTACTTCCATTTCTTTGGTTAGAGAACTTTTTCTTCCCTGTTTACCAAGTGAACGAGTACGTCTTCTCGAAAGAGCAGATTTGTCAATTTTAAACTGTTCAGCTGCCATATGGCTGTTTCCATGTTCTTTTTGTCGTAGGGGCGCTTTTTGGGAACGTAAACCTTCGGCATTATTATCAAAGGTATAAAAGCTGTCTTGTTTTTTAACTGGCAGGTGTCTTGTTTTTAGACTTTGTGGTGTCTCGTTTTTGCACCTGTTATTCATGACGTGCCTGCTTGCCAACAAATAAAAATGGACTAAATTCGATATGGAATATCATAGCCGCATTTGTTATTTTGAAAACGCGATAATTGCCGAGTCTCTGCGATCACGTACCACGGCGCAACAGGAAAAGTTTGTAAATACAATTTAAAAGATTTTTTAAGGAAAATGCACAATCAGATGCGATAGTTTTTTTCTCTATGTTTGTGTTTACGTTTATTTATTATTCATTACATATTTCAATTGTATATATGTGGAAGTAATTTGTAACGTATTTTTTACAATTTTATTATTTTTTTACATTGGGAAAAATTGAATGTCTTGTTTTTGACCGAAATTTCGGCTGTCTCATTTTTGCACCACTTGACCCTACCGCTATAGTGAAGAGCTGTGTTCCTGCCAGATCAAGTTCTCGGAGATGTTGACTCCGACCAGCCGAAATAAACCACTATTTGGTAAAACTCGCTCATCCATCGAATCCTTATACGCGCTATAGGACGATTCTTATTAAGGTACTGTGTTTTGGAAGCATAAACAGTACAAAATTATTGCGTCCTCAAGCAGTGATAACCTCCAGGTCTCTCGTCAGAAGTTGCTGATAGTCTTCCTTTCTCTAGCTCATCGGCAGGAACCGGCTTGTCACTCTGGATCCCTGCATATGTCATCAGCAAAGCTGTGGTTCGGATTGATCGTACAGGAAAGCAGGTCGCTGATATGTGAGAGGCACAATTTTGGAGCCAAGACCGATCCTTGGGGAACATCCGAGTTAAGATTGTAGGATGAAGAGGTGGAACCGTCTATTACGACAAATATCCTGCGGCCAGTACAACTTGACGCGTGTTTGACACCGAGTAGACTCGCAAGACATAGCCTCAAAGGTGGTATGTCACCAGCAACTATCTATCGATACTTATTTAGTTGATAGCGGTTTTATGTCATATATTAGGATATAGCACATTTATCAACTGAAATAATCGCAAATTCACTTCTCATGCCATACCTTTATCAACTGAAATAATTTTTTTACAAAGGATTATTAATATGTATATCACTTCTAACAGGTTGCATAGGTATATGAGGGGGCCAATCGAAAAAGATGATTTTGGTAAGAAATGTGACATGACACTTTTATCCACTTATGTCTTCAATTATTAAATTGAATTGCAAATGTTAAAAGATTTATTTTTGGGCTGTCTATGTGAACTTAAGTATGAATAAATTACATCAAAATGAAGTAAAAAACATATTATACTAAGTACGTTTTTTCTTTGAAAAAATAACATAAATAAATTCACAATGCTACGAGAAGACCACAGTATAAGAGCAGTAATGTTTTTTGATTTACAATAATTTCACTTATTGTATTTAGGCCTCGAAACGATTATTCTCTCAAATCACATTTAAATGAATCTCTATGAAGTCATGCAATATGCATTCACTTTTGTTCAGATAGAATCATTCCATCCATTTGGTTTGAAAACATACGGGATTTTGAACTCAATTTTCTTTGACTTCGTTTTTTATACTTTAATGCCTTTTACCTCAGTACGGCAGGATACGTAGGTATTTCATCATCTAAAACAGCATTAGTACTTCTCTTAATAAATCTGTACTATTCTGTAACTTTACAAAATACTTAAATCTTATCCAGAAAAAGAATGAATATGAGTAACCAATATGAAAGCTACAGTTTGTCAATTTATTGGTGCATCTCTACGGGATGTAGCCAGGTTAGGCGCATTTTGAATGCTCTCTAGTAATTGAAAAACGTACCGCAATATTTCTCATCATCAAATGAAAAGTAGCATGATCGACGCTTGATCGGGAAGCGATGAGACTCCATTAAAATTGAACAACCGTAAAAATAATGATGAAAAATGAGTCCATGGACCCCTGCTGAGTCCCCTCCAAAACTTTTTCTGAATACGTCAGTGGACAAGCATAAATCATCGGCTCCATTGGAAAAAATATTCTAATCAGATCATGTTACTACGAATTAATATGATGTTGTCCACCTGAAAAACTCGATCAGACCTATGTCTATTTTTCTATAACCGACCTTCAAAGTATGCCTTATTATTAGTCGAGCATGCAAACAATGACCGATCGCACATGATAGGTTCGCATAACTTTTCGTTTTTCTTGGAAAAATATTCACATATATTCCCATACTCCTTCGCGATGGATGTAACATGAAGTTAAAATGGTTCAACATGTGTCGTTTTATATTTATACTTCAATCATTAAAACTGGTGCAGTTATATTTTCACAGCCTCAAAGTACACGCCATTAGGTACTCGTAGCTGTCTACGCAAGTAAATTAGCGTGTTCCAATGAATTTATACGATCACGCGATTGTCAGATTTTTGCAAATAGACAAGACTAAAAATTAGGTCACGCCGGAAAAATATTTTCATTGATATTTTCATAACAACCTATCAGCTTATTATTATTAGATTATCGGTTCATTCTGAGCAAAAAGCTCCTCAATAAAAACATTCCAAAATGTTATCAAAACTCCAAATACTGTAATGGCGATCCGCCAACGATCTGCTAAAATATTTTCCCTTTGTGGTCTGGGTTTTTTTTTCTTATTTGGGTTAATCTAGATTTTCGGCGGCACGTCTGTAGTTACTAAACTTCAAAAAATTTTAGCAAAAGTGGCACGACTTTTTATGAATTACGTATTTTTAAATGAGTGATGTAATGGAAACGAATCGTTACTAGGACTATGCTTACTACGTCATCTTAAAATCACCACCTGAAGTTTGGCCAGGTACTAAGACGCTATACAGACTGTTTCAGAGAAACGTGGCAATATTTTTAGGGTATAAAGTGGATAAAAAATTACACGAAAAGTTCATGTAAATGCGATCTCACCGGGATACAGAAAGTTGGAAGTTAGGTATAATTTCGAAATCGCAAATAAATTATATCCTCAGACTGGATTAAGATTCTGACTTAAAATGTTGTTCATATAGTACTGACATCAGAGCCAAAACAAACAAAAATGTTCGTGCCTGAGACTTCAGCAGTAGTGTAGAAATTGGGAAAATTTGATTCCTACAGGAGAAAAAAATTATGTTTTACGCAACTGACTTTTTTGGAGCAACGATAGCATTTTTGAACAACGTTTTCAATTTTACATGAATCGCCTCTGTTGAGAAACTTTTGTCAGACTTTTTTTTGAATAAAAATTAGTTGATGTAAAATCTGTATAAAAAAATTCAATCAGTTCAACTTTGAAATACGCTGGAATTAATCATATTGACATCGAAAATTATATTTAGTATATTAGGACAATAATCCTATATCACTATAGGTAGCCTTCTTTATACAATTTTCGTGTTTCGCCTTTATTCTGTCGCGTCAGTGACTTAGAAATTTGTATCTTAATAGTAATACATGTCATTTTGGCACGTATCTTTGAAGGAACTTTTGTGTTATTTTTGGGTAGTAGTAGTTTCTGCCCTAGAAATACTGCCACGTTTTTCTGAAACACCCTTTATATGAGTTAGGCAGGCCCAAGACCCAGATCCATCTTGGCTTTCTTTAGCTAGCATATAAGTCTACCGAGTATTCCCATACTATAAACGTCGCTTTATAAATAAAAAAACGCTTACAAAAACAATATTTTACTCAAATAATATAAACATATCTCAACAACAAACATTCACCACTTTGATTCTTTCACAGAAAGAACTTTTTCCACTGCTTTTGCCCTCTGCTCCAACAAATGCTTCTGCTCCTCAGGTATACCTTCAGAATTAAGGTTTTTCAACAAGAAATGATGGATAAACAACCTCAGACTATCCCTGAATATTTTCAGCTTATCCGACTTGGAAACCTTCAAAAACACTTGAAGACAATCCTCTTCAACTTTATGAAGCAGGATCCCTATCAAAATCTGCCTTATAAATCTCAAGGTTACCTTATCTAACTCACTAAACTCCACAACTTTCAGAACTGATATGACAAGTCCTTTTTCTATGAAAAGATGCGTCAGAAGTTTAGCTAGATTCGAGATTTGTTGATTCCAACTTTGAAGCGCCTTCAACTTGTCCCAAACAGCATATTTGATCATAATTTGAAATTTTCTGTCGTAATCACAGAACTTCTGAGCTAAGAAAGAATAATAGGGATTGTATTTCGTTTCTCTAAGACAACAATGTAAAATGACATTTACAATCTCGCGTTCTTGTGATTTTTCAAACTAAGATGCAAGATCTTGTTAAATGCATCCAAGTAATCTTCAGCAGACATTATAATGCAGAAAATATTTCTCCTTGTATCTGTATTCATATGTTGTTGTCTAGCTAATTCCAGAATATTAGTTGAGTAACTTTCGTTATTTTTCACAACTTCTGTCTGCTCCTTATCTTTATTCTGGTTCCCTGACCAAGCTGACCCTACAACCCACCATCTTCCTTTTTCATCAGCCTTCAACAAGTCTTCTAACCCAATATTTAACTGAGTCACATAATTCCCTTTCCTAATAAAACCTTTCATAACTTTCTTCAAATGTTCTGGATAGGAAACATCATAGTTTGGAATCTTTTTAACATTATTATTCCTTATAGCCAGCAATATGTCCAACATAAACTTCACCCTACAGTTATCTTTGTCTTCCTCTGATATTTCTGAAGCCTTCTTTTGTACTTCAACAATAAAATTTTTCAACTCAAGAGGATTGTCCTTCCTCAAATTAAAACCTACACTTCTCAGAACATGTAGGATGCATTCAATACACTTCTCGTCAAAAAATTCACAAAACTTTCTTAGCATTTCATATACTAGTTTTGAATCAAATAATTGGAAGTTATACAGCTGAGCTATTATTTTAGTTATATTATCCAACATCTTATTTTCGACATCATGACTTCCAGATAAGAATATATCAAACTTTGAAGCAACTTGTTGCAAGAAATGTGCTCCAATCTCAGTGCCGACATTAGCATGAAGCACTGTCAAAAGTACAACATGTTCTATCAGCAATCTTTCTGGTGTAGTTATCTCTGTAACCAATGTGTCCAAAATAAGTGATGTCAGAGATTCATTCATGTCATTCCTACTGTTGTTCATATACATATCTTCTATTGTAGTTGCTATGCTATGCATATTGCTTTCTGTCAATCTATTTAGTAAACCTTTCAGCTGTTTCCGGAGTCTTGTCAGCTTCTCAGATTGCTTTGAGTTATCTTGTCTTAAAGCTGGAGGAACATACTTGGATTCTTTTTGTGAAATAACAGATCCATCTTTTGCTCTAAGCCTACCATATATATCTTCCCAAGTACCATCTTTGTTGATCTTCACAGCACCTTTAATATGAACCTCGGATGCTTCCGATTCATCTGAAGCATACTCTCCCTCATCAGTATCTTCTTCTGAACTATCTGATATTTTTTGTTTTTTCTTTTTACACAGTTCCTCATTTGGTTTCCTTTTCTTGTTATTATTGACACTATCACTTTCATCCTTAGTGTCATATTTTTTCTGCAGTTTCATTTTCTCTGTAGAATTTTCTGAATCAATAATGTCTTCAGAGTCCAGTTCGGTTCCACTATCTTCTGAATTTATATCATCTTCATTGTCATCTGTATTTGCATCATCTATATCTTCTTCTTCTTCAACATCATCAAATTCGCAATTTTCATCTTTGAGTGTTGAATCACCTGGAAATTGTTGAAATATGAATTATTATAGACCTTAACAGAAAAATTGTGTTTTAGGAAACAAAAATTCACCATCATCTGCCTCAGAATCCATATCTTCATCATCCTTTCCTAGAATTGTAGCAAATCTTCAGCAAACTCATCAACATTGGCTGTCTCTAGGGCTTGCTCTGCAGCAACTGCTTCTTTCATTCCCTCAGCATCACATAACTCCATCAAGTAATCTAAAAAAATCATAGCTGAGTCCCCATGATGCATTGACTGTCAAATGAAGACAGCAACACTATCAAAATATTTATTAATATCTTGGTTTTTGTATCACCATATATAACTTTCATGAACATCAATGATATACAGAGTATAATGTCAAATGGTTTACCTAAACCATCCTCCTTAAATGCTTTGGGTAATGTTTTGCTTTTCCTTTTGTTAAGTCCAAGTTTCTTTTCTAATTGTTTAATAATCCGATCCTCTTCAGCATTTGCATCCAGCAGTTTTTTCTTTCTGTGCTCTAACATTTCTTTCTCAAGGCGTTTTTGCTTTATTCGATCTTTCTTTTGTAATTGTTCACTTGAGATATCTTTTTGGAAATTTTTTTGGTTGCTGGGTTCTGGATTTCTCTCAAAACTCTGTTTAGGAGCTTTTGTATCATGTGGTATTGGTTTTTCAATTATATGTTTTGTGCAAACTTCAATATCTAGGGTTGGTAAAACATTATTTGAAAACTTTTTCCTGTTCATGTACAAACCACGTTTTTGTTTTTTCTGTTTTCGCATTTCTTTCCGAAGCTGTTTTCTTGATTTTTTCACATTTTTCTGATTGTACGATTTTGAATTCTTAGTCAGCCCCATTGTTATATGAATATTCTTGTAAAATTGAAATCAGTTTGTTTATTTTTCTCACATGTTTGAAATTAGAAATTAGGTTATCTTTGACACTAAGGATTTTTTCGCGAGTCCACGGTGTAGCACAGTGCACTACTGGGAACTGGGAACCGATAGACCGATATTCAAATTTTCGCGAAGAACGGGAATAGGAGAAGACGGATGTGACGTCGTCCGAATGTCAAAAAATCACATGGTACGGGTACCCGAATAACGTCTGTGAGGTACTAGCAGGTGACAAGTCTTATGTCAATTTCATTTAAAAAACAGGTATCTCAATTGAAAATTTGTCTTCGCAGTACCGAAAATTGAGTTAAATTATTAAATCATAAATGGAGGAACACGTCCACCTGATTTTAAATGACGACTGAGAAGGTCATCGAAGATATATGAACCGCACTTGTCATATCAAATGTTTGTTTTTATTGATATATATGTACATTGCACATAAAACGATCGGTCTTTTTATTACAGATTCAAACAAGACAGCTAAGTTTAGCAAGGAGCTTAAAGGAAACATTTTGCGCAGCATGCGCCATCTAACCACTCCTGGTGTAACTTGAAACTGTCAAACTTCGAGAGGACGGGGAAATGAAATTCCATCTGTTCCCGCTCCGGTTCACTACGGGATCTGGCGAAAAAATCTCTTATGAAGGGGAACCATGATAAATAATACTAAGTAAAGACTAGTTTCACGTCGCCGTCTAGAAACAAAATTTTAATATCTTTTGGTTACTATTTGACAGCCGTACTAAAAAGAGTTAGATTTCTTACCAAAACTTAGTCCATACATCTTTTCAATACACTTATTGTGCGTCTCCTGTAGACATGGCTTTAGTGGTTTCAGAACCATCGATAATATAATATATAATCAAATCCAAGCGAATAACGAAAATTTCTGTTATGTGCCGCGGTTATAATATGGTTCGAGATGACACACGGGTTGATGACGTCAGTTACACGAATCGCTTGAACGCGTTGGTTTTAACCGCGGTTTTGTTGCAAGTTGTTTATTTTAGAAAAGCGCGTATATAATCTCTGATTATTTTTATTATCACTTAGTAATCGGTGCTTTTTCGTCTACAACTGTAAATATATGGAAAGTTTAAATAAGAAACCTTTCATAATATTCATGGGAGAAATGTTTTTTCAGATTTTTTTTTAATGATGGGACCATGGCTTTGTAGCTATGATAACTTTCAATTCTCTAAATTTTTCCGCATGTCAAAGAAAACATTTATTGATTCAGCAGAAATGATGAAAAAAGAAATTAGCAAAACCGTATACAGGTGGATATCATTTAGTGAGTTTATATGGCCATATTTTAATATTCTTGTGGTATATGGCACAGGATACGTTGTTAAGCATATGAACTACATTTAAAGTGTCCCCAACAACCGTAATGAGTATAACTAATAAGGTGCTCCACTTTATGGTAAAACTGAAGTCAGCCTGTATCATTTTTCTGAAAAATGAAGCTGAAGTACAATAACAATATCCAATACCCGGCAAAATTCTAACTTGTCACATTTCAAATAATAACCAGAAATATAAAACTACTCTTGAGTTGGGTAAATACCACAGTTTTGCGGTGATAACTATGACATATAACAGCTGATTCGTGACGTCACGGATCTTATAACCAAACTGATAACTACACTCGCTTGAACGGATTGGTAAATACCAACCCAAAATGGTAAATACCATTTCCATTTGGTTATCCGCTTGAATTTGATTGATGTTCCTGTATATCGCTGTCCGCTGTCTTAGGTCAAAGTCATATGTTTTATGGCGACAGCATGACAGGTGATGATAATTGGCGCTATGCTATGGCAAAGCGCTGTACGGAAGGCATAACCTCATTTTTAACTTTTTTTAAAAACCATTTTAAAATTTTTGAAGATTTTTAGTAATTCGGAACCATATGTTTTATCGTTACCAGAATGACTACTGTACAAGCTAAAGATGAAAACTCCAAAGAACCAGTAAAAGAAGTGAAGAAAATCAAGGATCAATGGATGGTATTACCAAAAACTTATATTTTAAAAATATGCTCTATGGAAAATATTGCAGATCAGACCATGCAGAGTATACGATGCTGAATACAGTGATTGTACATCTTTCGCCGCTAGATTCAACCAGTACTTTATTTATGGCAAAACTCTGGACTGCTCCCAGTGGAAGAAAGATTCTATAAGCTGTCATAAATGGATTGACAATGAAGATGCTGAAGCTGCTGTAAGTGTCCTCAATATCCCAAGTTTTTCTAAGAACATACTGTGTATCCACATATATTTGATCACTCATTTGAAAAACTATTATTAAAAATTCATACCATCCAACTCCTTTAATATGGTTTTTATATTATTTGCTCAAGAGGGAACTGGTTCACAGTGAAAAAGTCAGGAGGAGAAACAGACTACTGCCCCATGTCCAGAATGATGTCTGGCAAAAAAGAAAAGAAGCACCTGCAGATTGGAATAAACCATTACCTGAACATATGCAGAAAGAATATGAAAACACATACTTGAACGTAAAATCCAAAGAACTTAAGGGTGAAGTACCACCGAGCATTGATCTTCCATATACAGGAGGATGTACAATATTATAGCATAACATGATCTTAGTCCATTGTAAAATAAATAGTAAATACTTGTAAATATATTTATTATTTAGTGTTAACCATTTTTCGTATTTCCTCAATATTAGATAATAAGATAACAAACAGTTCTATGATAATGAAAGTTACAAAATTAGTACTTGGTTGATAAACATTCTTCCCCACCAGTATGAAAATGAGCAGACCTCTTTTTGGAAATAAGTATGAAAATCATTCTTATCATTACACACTTAGGTGCTACTTAATAGTATCTATGCTTTTAAACTTTGCAATTTCGCTCCCAATTTTATACAGCACATCCACAGGCTTAGTAGCTCCAATGGCCAAAATTCTAGCACATCCTTTAACAAACAGATCCAAATCTTCTTTCTCATCACTATTCATAATATACTTATTTGTAAACTGTGACAAATTTGAAAACACTGAACTGAATGCTTCGTCCAAATCAAACAGTTCCAATGGAGGTGGAGGCAAGTCTCTAAAAGCTGGTGGAAAGACGGCTGGTTGTAGTGTAGGGAATGGTGTCTCAAACTTTGGTGTTATTATCTTCAATGGCTCATGCTTCACCCCCAACTCTTCATATAGTTTCAAAGCTACAGGGACAAGACTGGTGTTCATAGAATACATTTGATGGTCAAAAAGTTTGGTATAGTCAACATAGTTGCTATACCCAGCTGCATCAGTAAGGCACAACTTAGGCCTCTCAGCTAATTCTGCTGTATCGGGTACAATATACTGCTCAGTGAGATCAATATCATCATTGTCTGTTGGTGTAAAATTGATAGGAGATTGTTCAGTGAGGAAATACATTATTGCCTCTCTAAATTTCTCATTATTCTCTTGGTCCAGGTACTTATCTGAAAACATGTGACCAGAACCTATTGCTACTAGTCTTCCTCCAGATTTTTCATCATAATAGATGGCGCCCAGGGGTTTATCAACAGGAAAGCATGACACGCCACTTGTGAAGGCTATAGCACTGGGTTTAGTGACTGCCATGGTACATCCAAAAGGATATACTAGCTTCATTTCATCTTTTTCTTTGATTATGGCTGAATGCACTTGACTGTCTCCTATATAACATTCCTTAGGGTGTAAATATTTATAGTAGTGTGTCCGAATCAAGCTGTCAATCTTAGGGACGATTCCATACTCTTCAAGTAAAACATTCACATTACTTTGATCATTGGAACTACCTTCTGAAAGTAGTACTAGCACTCTACCCCCACGTTGTATGTATCCCTTTAAAGCTGAGATTTCATTTTCTTCAAAAGGAGTCTGAGATCCTGGCAACACCACAACAGAGCAGTTGTACAACAACTGCTCAGTAATTTCATCTTTATTGACGATTATCCTCCAATATAGTTTCAACTTTCTTTGAAAAGATTTGTAGTTCTCGGTAAGTTTGAATATTTCTTGTTTTGATGCGTTGACCAAGAGTACATTTTTATTTTCTGTGAAATCATCTTTTGACGGTGTCATCACGTTTCGAATTGTTTGAAATTTGTATCAGCGGTTGCTAAGAAACTACCGGAAATTTGATTCACCACATCGGTCAGAGGCTGAAGCTCGAGTAGGGAAGTGATTCTGATTCTACAAATAGTCGATGAGGAAAGAGGGTGTCGACAATCAGTGTTGCCAGGTGGAGTCGACGATATTTCGGTAGAATTGTATGGAATTTTTCGGTAAATTGAATACCGAAGAGTAAATGAAGGCATTGACTTAAAACAATTTTATTTAACTCAAAATATACTCTAAAACAGAAAGATAAAACAAAAATAAACAGTTTATATCTCACTTTAGCTAACTAAAAATAAAATATTCTTAATAAAAGGTGTATAAAATAAAAAATCTGTAAGCTCTATTGGATAATCATTCTTCCGATTCATTTTTGAATAGTTTTTATCAGTCATATTATCTACTAATTTTGCTTTGCAGCAGGAATGGCAAATTATGCTCGGCCAAAAATACGCTCAAACGAATTTCTCCTGGAAATAATAAAATAATCTATATAATCTCAAATCTTCTCAAATAGATTAATTAATTTTACCTTCTTTAATATCATTTTCTGATTTTTTTGATGCACCTGCAACTGTAAATGACATCAATTTTGGCTGTTTTGCTATGGTTTGCACTTTTTTATGAAATTGCCCATTTGCGTGTTTTATAAGTGCATCACTTCCTATTTTGATATTAATATCTTTATCACAGACCATGCATTTCGCATAATCGCGCCCTTTATTGCTTTTTTAAGCCAGCCTTGTAAATCTGACAATTCTTCCCAGTCTTCCTTATAATGTTGGGCACACGACGTGAAAAAAAAAATGTTACTGCAAGACAGGCGATACTAATACTGGCCGAATTCGGAGTTACTAAGTACACGAAATCATACAAATCGTACAATACAGGCATGGACTTGTCACGAGCCGCTAGGCCTAGGCGATGTAGCCAAATCATCGAGTATCTTCGGTGATTCCCCAGATGCGAAGAATCAGCGTATGTCCACACCAATGTCAGGCAAAGAGAATAAAAATATGTCTGGTTCAAGTCATCGTTGGTTGTCAGAGCGGTCC